CGAATCTATTGATTGGTGTACAAATATGAGAGATTCCCAGTCACTACCGAATCGAACTAAATAAGATATTCCTATTCCCATGAGAACCTGTAGAACCTAAATTTCACAATAAATTGTAGACACATTTATTGATTCCGAATTCTTATAAATAGATATATATTAGCGACAATCTTGTGTAATATACAGAATTTGCACTCTCTTCCAATGTCACCCCATACGTCACCCCCACCCCTACCCCCACCCCTAACATTATTGAAAATAATATTCATTAATGCGTAAAATAATTTTTAAAAATAAAATAAATTGTGAAATAGCTACCATAAACAGTGAAAGATTCAAATATGAGTAGTTAACAAAGATAGAAAATCAATTAGAGTTTTAGGAGAGTAGACGTCAAAAACACTCTTCCAAGAAATTTGACGATTATAATAACATTGTATAGATTTGTTCATGTGTTTGTCTCAAACATGTGTTTTTCCTTTAATGTTTGTGAATGGATTTTTGAAACATCAATATCCAATGGTGATTTTGATATCTTCTTAATATAGTCTAGACTCAATCCAGTGGAACCATATGTCCTTATCTTAGCATGTCGCAGCATGTGATTCGCCAAATTATAATTTCTAATTCAGGCCGAGGCCACTACTTTATTATCCATCCACGTCTGTCTTTTTCTATACATATGATTCAGTCGAAGGAGCATATTGGTTTGTGCGGTATTTTTAAATCATATAAATTTTATTATATTAAAATTTATTTAATTTATTAACAATTCTGTTAAAAAAACAAATATTAGCAATATATTGATAATCATTTTATTCTTGAATTTAAATCGTATATACATTGTATTTAATTAAGTTTACCTAGTACTTAGATGAGTTTGGACTAACTATTTATGTATTCATATAAACCCAAATTCATTGATTTTCCAGATTCCAATGAGTTATGTTATGTCAAATTCATGTCTAAGTCGTATTAAATTCATGTCTAACTCGTATTGTATCTAAATAGTAACTTTTGCATATAGGATTTTTTGTAATTAAAAGACAAATCATACATATATGAGTTTCAATTAAACTCTTTCATGTGACTCAATTAACCACGCTCGCTGCTTTTATTAACTATCCTACATTTGAATTTTAACCATCTTTGATAACTACAGAGCCCCACAAACAAATATGACATTTACCTGCTTTTCAGGCTTATCAGCATGCCACTTCATGTGATAGGCCCACTACTTATTATCTGCCCACGCGTCACTGTCTTTTGTCTATAGATATGATAAAAAAAATAATATTTGTACTTAAAAATTGACATGATATGTTGAATTGATGGATCACAGGACGTGATTCTCAATAAATGTTAAAACTCATAATTAAATCAATAAGAGTAATTGATCAAGTCAATTTTTTAAGTCTGTATAATATTTTTCATTAAAAAAACCTATTCTCTCCTCGAGTAGGGAGAAAAAAGTTAGTTGTGTCGCTTGCAAATTTTATTTTACTAGAATTTATTTAATGTAAATTGTAATTGAATAAGTTAGAAAATGAGAAAAAAAATTTTCCACATAAATATCTTTTAAATACATAGACTTGAAAAGACTATTAGAGAAAAGACTAATTAAATAAATTATGGGTTGTAATGTACTTGAGGGATGTAGAGTAATTGTTAATGGTAAGTCTTGAATTATTTGTAATGGTGAGTTAACACATAAAAATGAGATAAATTATTTGAGAGAAATGTGTGGGAACTTAAAAATTTAATCTAATTTTTTGACTTAGTAGCATGACAATTGATATGACCTAATAATATTATTCCAATTACAACCATTGAACTACTTCATCAAGAGATTCTACAACTTGATATATCATTAGGTCATCAAAAGTAAATACTAACAATATTACTGATTATTTAAGAGTTTGACATAAAAAAGATACAAATAGTTTTGAACTAATATTCATCTTGCATCTCCTAAAAAGGAGAAGACTTTCTATTATGTGGGTAAATAAAAAGAGAAGTATAATAAGTCAAGCCATTTATGTTTTTACTAATTTTAAATTTTTAGAGCATCTTCAATTCTTATCTAAATTCTTACTTAAATTTAAATTTGAATAAAAATAGACTAAAAATAATCTTCGGTCATTTTGAGTTTGTCAAATGTCTACTCAAATTAAGGATGACTCAAATTTTTAATAGTTAAAGTTTATCATTTTTTTAAAAATTCAATGATCATATTCTATCATCTTTCAAATTTGAGTTTGTCATTTTATAATTTTTAAATTTTTTTTAAAAAGTGTTTTGTATTAAATCATGCTTTTTAATTATTTATTAACTTAAAATTGAGTCAAAGCTGAAGATAACATTAATTATATAGTACTTATCAGAATTTGCTTTCCCATGACAATTAAAAGAAGTATATACTAAAAAATAAAACTAATAATGTACGACGTGCGTTGTACGTGAATAATTTAAATAATAATTTTTTTTTGTTGAATCTATAAAAATATAAATTTTATGTCTAATTAAATTAAATGATAAATTTGGTGTGAAAAATTAATCTATATTTTATTTTCTTATTAAAATTAATTATTAAAAAAATAAATATAACATATATTTAATCTTAGAATCAAATTTGATAACTATAGGTATATAATAATATAATATAATATAGATTCGTATTTGCTTATTTTCTATACCTTAATTCCCAATTCACGTGATGTGCACACAAGGAATTCCACCAAAGTTAATCGCATAGGTTGAGAGGGCCAGATTGACACAAATAATATAATTTAAGGGATAAACTAACACAAAATATAATTCAAGGACTAAATTAACTCAAATGATATAATTCAGGGGCTAAATAAATAGTAAAATCAAAATTTTATGTAAGTGTGCTATTATAAAGGAGTTCAAAAGAATTTAGAAGTCAAATACTAGTTATAAATGTGTTCAAAAGAACTTCAAAGTCAAATTACATATAAAAACAAAAAATGTATGAATGTATAAGGATATAATTGATTTTATAAAAATTAGGCTAGTAATACACGACATATGTTGCACACGAACATTTGTAAGTAATATTTTTTTTGTTAAAAAATATTGATTATATGTGTGAATGAATTGAATAAATAAATTATGAGTCGAGAAATTAATTTTTATTTTAATTTTTACTAAACTTAATTATTAATATATATATATATATATGTATTATATAATAATTTGGGTTATTGTAATTAAATATCTAAAGTTATAAGAGTAAGTAGAGCGAATGACTAGACTTAATGCTATATGATAAGAAGAGTTTTGATATGATATAGAAGGAAAAATGATGACATTAATAAGAATATATATGTATAATTGACTTAACATTATTAAACAAAGATAAAATAAGAAGTCAAAATTTTTCATATATACTGGCATTTAAAAATAGTATAGATTTAAAAAATCAATTCAAATTTATTCAATTACAAATATTTTTTTTTTTACCAATTCATCAAATAATCAATTATTTCAAGTCAATTCCATTGTGCCGTCAACATATTAAACAAAAATTGATCAACTGACCTAATTATTATACCACATTTTATTCTCAATTTCACCAAATAACCCAACTTTTGTAGTTTAATTTCAAAAAGATACCCAACAACTTTACGAAAAAAAAAAACATAGGGGTTTATTTGAAAGAAGTCATAGAGCACAATCCTATACATCAGACCTTCGATCACCCGGGAGTTAGTTATTAGTAATTTTAAGGAGTTATGAGTGGTTAAAGTAGAAAGAAAATAAAGATACTATATGTATTTTATTTGTGGATACTAGACCCTTCTCTCTCATATTACAAACAATAATATATATGTATTGTCGATTTATTTATTTAACAAATACTTATCTATATACCCATTTAATTTATGGTAGATAACCAACAAAGTAAATAAAGGAAAAATGGTAAATTTAATAAATATCTTGTAAATTTTATAAATATCATGTAAATTATGAGATAAATTTTGTTAAGATTAATTATTAAATGAGATAAATTTTATTAAAATGAACTGTTAATTTGTTTCATTCAACAGTTAATCTTATCCTCCGTTTGGTAAGATGAAAAGTTGGAAGGATGAAAAATTGGAGGGATAAATAAAACATCATGTTTGGTAAGGAAGGAAAGTAAAAAGGATGGAAAAGTGAATGAATTAACTTTTCTTCCAATTCATCAAAATTAATCTCTCAAAAAATAGAAGAAAAGTGTATGAAAAGTTAATTATTTGTGTTGAGATGTATCTTATTTATCTATATATCTTATGTATACATTAATTTCATATAAAAAATACAATGGTAAACTATGTGTACATATTTAAAAAAAATAAAAAATAAACAAAATAAAAAATTTAAAATAACAAATAAAAAAAATAAAAATTTTAAGTTAAATTTTTTTTTTCATCTTAACTAAGACCGAAAATTTTAGACTTAACACGATGACATGACTTCAACTCGATACGAAAATAAATAGGTTAACTAGCAACTCGACACGACACAATTAATTAAATGAGTTAAGTTATGTTTGATTAATATTCGACACAAACTCGTAATGACTTAACACGAATCTGACACGACATGACTCAACTCTATAATCACCCCTAATTTTAGCCAGCACAAAAAAAAATAAATTGTTATTTATATTTTTCATTTATCCAACCAAACACAAAAGATGAAAAACGTATTCCTCCTACTTTCCATCCTCCCTACCAAACGGAGCATTAATGAAAAAATTAATTAAAATAAATTATGTAGTTTAGGGGAAAAATTAAAATAATTAAAAGTTTTTGGGCAATTTAAAATAAAGGCTCTAGTTCATGCTTATTTATGAGATTTACATTTATCAACGGGGATGTGCTTCCACAACTGCAGGCTGACTCCATGTTTATTTGCCTTCTACAGTGTCACATAGATACAAATAAGTACAGCAAAGCATCAACACCAACACACCTCTATACTTTCATTTTCCCTCTTCACATGCACTGACACCCTTGAATCTTTGATCTCTCCCAGTCTCCACCCGTGCATTCATTCACCTCCCATTCTCTCTCTCACCCTTTTCTTCACTTCACAAATCGGTATCATTCTACCTCAACTCATTTGATCGTAGAATGTTCGATTTATTTCGTAGTTTTCTCGATTTGTAGCCTAAATTGTATCATTTGTGATATGTAAATGGATGCATTGAGAATATTTATCATTTGAATGATTACTTCATGCGTGATTTTCTCTTTTTGTTCCAATTTTTCACTTTTTCTTGGCGATTTGGCTCAATCGTACACATGCATGTGTTTCTTTATGGGTTTATATATGTGAAGATAGGAATGGCTGTCTACAGACACTTACGTATTTTGCAATGTAATGACATTTGAGTGTTGATTGGATTTCTGTGAAATGCAGGGTGAAATGTGGAAGCTGAAGATCGCAGAGGGAGGGAGTCCTTGGGTACGAACTACCAATAGCCACATCGGCAGGCAGTTCTGGGAGTTTGACCAGGGACTCGGATCCCCCGAAGAGCTAGCCGAGATCGAGAAATCGCGTGAAAACTTTCGCATTCATCGGTTCGAGAAAAAGCACAGCTCAGATCTTCCCATGCGTATTCAGGTACCCAAAACACATACAAATACAGTTTTCCACATATATACATATATGTGTGTAATATGAGCTCTGAAGTCTAATTAATTGATTAAATCAGTTTTTTGATTGGCAAAATGATAGTATTAGACGGTATCTTCTTTAAGTTTTAAATTACAGATATCTGCAATCTTGTATGCTGCTCTATGTATGTCTATTGGACTGTACATTGATGCTATTTTGGTGAATTGTTTGCAATTTGTGGGGTTTTAAGATTGCAAAATTTGGTGGTTTGAGGAAATGGGAATAGAAAATTTGCGTAGCTTTATGTATATTGTATACTGATGTTATTTTTAGTACTTTTTCTTTTTTTGTATACTGATTTTATTTTTAGTACATTTTTCTGACATTTTGCTTGTTTAGAAAGAGCTTCTGGCGATTTATTGAGCTCTCAAGCTTGTGATTTCTGGGGCAATTAATGGTTTTCTTATGCTAAACAGATGTGATAAGAAATTTTGATACTTGAAATTTGGTGAGTCATTAGTTCTTAGTGATGTGAACATTGGTTTCACTAATTTTGGTGGATATGTCAACAATGAGGAAAAACAACATCAGATTGACACAGCACCTGTAATAGGGACTTTTTCAGCAGTTCACAAAAACTCGAAGATTCAAGGCATGTTTTCAATTGTTAGAAAGCAGTTCTTAGTATGGCAGTGAGACATCTATCTCACCGCCATACTAAGTTGTGGAGTAATTTGACGGGGTGATAGGATGGGACTCTGCGGGGACCTTTTTTGAACATATTCTTACAATGGCTGGGTGGGATGACGCATGGCTGAAGATCCTTTGTTCAGGATTATTTTGAAAAATGTCACTTGTTTGCAAGCTTTTCTTCCTGTCATAAGAGAGTTGGAATTCAAAACATGATCTTTTTGTAATCAAAGCTAATTTATTCCTTAACAGAAAACAATTGGTCATGATTTATCTTTGTTCTTCTTTAAAAAAACTGACAAATTGAGGTTGAGGAATATGTGCAATTGACATGTGGGTTTTAGTAGATTAGTGTTGTCTTCTTTGCATATGTACATTGGCAAACAATTTTTATATGAGGCATCTTTAATAGAATTTTTGCTTGTATTAAGGTAGTGAGATATTTGATCAAAAAAAAAAAAAAGTAGTGAGATACGGTTTTGCAACATCTTCACTCAGCGAAGAATGGTGATTTTTTTAATTAGTGTCAGCTGAATCCTATTCTTTGACTTAGACTGTCATTCTGTTTCCAACTGTAGTTTGCAAAAGAGAATCCTGTCAGTATAGTCTTGCCCCAAGTCAAAGTAAAAGATATACATGATATCACAGAGGATAAAGTGACAAACACGCTAAGAAGGGCAATTGGTTTTCATTCAACTCTCCAGGCGCATGATGGACACTGGCCAGGAGATTACGGAGGTCCTATGTTTCTAATGCCTGGCTTGGTAAGTGCTGATGTTGCTACTGGTGCATCCTAAGGTAAAAAAAAAAAAAAAAAAAAAAAAGGATGTTCCCATTCTTGCAATGTACAGGAAGTGGAGTTTGCAGAAGTTTTGTTGCAATTTTCTTTTTGAATTATGCAGTGATTGTCACCTTGGAAGCAAGGAGCTTCAGATAATTATATCTGATTTTTCTAAGGAAAGACATAATCATATGAGTTTTGATTTTTATTCTTCATTTAATTTATCAGGTCATTACTCTGTCTATTACCGGAGCACTGAATGCAATATTGTCAAAAGAACATAAGCGTGAGATCTGCCGTTATCTTTACAATCATCAGGCAAGGATACTTCTAGTTTCAACTTTAGTAAACATACCCGTTATTCTTCTTTTTTAATGTATATACTTCCATTTTTGATGAGTGAAATGTTTACATAGAACACCCTGTAATTGCAGAATAGAGATGGTGGGTGGGGTTTGCACATTGAGGGCCCAAGCACCATGTTTGGTACTGTTCTGAGCTATGTTACATTGAGGTTGCTTGGCGAGGGAGCTAATGATGGACAAGGGGCAATGGAGAAAGGGCGTAAATGGATTCTGGATCATGGTAGTGCCACAGCAATCACTTCATGGGGAAAAATGTGGCTTTCAGTTCAGTCTTCACCTTTTATTTTTTTGGTTTTACTCGTCACTTCAACTGTTGGTTGTATATACTGGCATTTGTTGATTCTTGTTGCATTCTTGATGTTATCAGGTGCTTGGAGCATTTGAATGGTGTGGAAATAATCCCCTGCCTCCTGAGATATGGCTTTGTCCTTATATGCTTCCAGTCCATCCAGGTAACTTCCCACTCATGCTTCTTGGTGTATGTTTTTTCTTTTCCTTGTGTGATTAAAGGAGGTCATTTTCTGTACGACCGAAAAGAATGATTGGGTCCTCTTACACTTCTGAAATCTAATGCCTCCAATTTGAACAAAGCTACACTCTTGACAATTTAATGATCTTAATGGTGATGTTAAGTTTGCCAATCATGCTAATTTGTCATCCTATGGGAAGGTAGCTTGTATCCCTTATTGAAAAATATGGTCATCCAAGATTGCTTCATATGTTTGGGGGGCCTCTTTACCTATTTCCAATTAGTTTGAGATGGATGTGTTTAACTGGGTATCCAGCTGGTCTTTGGATAGTATGTGCACCAAGTCTCTCATCCGCTTGACTTCTCTAGTATACATGTTTTTTGTTTGTTATGCCACGTGCAAGTACGGATCCTGTGTGAATGAGAGTGTGAAGAGAGCTTCTATCCTACATCAAAAGATTTGGTCCAACCGAGGTTGATTTCTATGGTTGGGAGATCTTTGCACTTATTTCCAATTGGTGGTGAATGAATTTAAAAAACAAAAAATGATTTTAGAGCTGGGCCGCGTTGAATGGTTGTTAAAAAGTTTTTCGTTATGCATATTTGTTTGTCTGTTTATTAGCTAACATGCAAGTCCAGCCTGTCTTCCAGGTTCCATGTGAGGGAGAGTGCAAAGAGAGTTTAAATTCCACATCAAAGATTTCGGTCACCAAGATTGGTTTATCGAATGAGGAGTCTCTACTCATTGGTTTTGGGTTGAATGCTATAGCATTAGGTAGATTGAGGTTCAGAAATAAAGTTCATGAGGTTGGATGCAGTAATGTTTCATAATATGAAAAAGGTCAAATTGATTACAAAGTGTTTTGCCATTAGAGTTATCCCCATCGGTGTTGCATGGAGAACTTATACTTGTTTTCTGATGGAACAACAGAATTGATGAATGGGCTAATAAGGGTGGCATACGTCAGTTCGTGTGAAAATCTTGTTCTGTTGTTAATACGTCTGGTCCTCTGTCCCTTGTTCTTTTACCATCATTTTACAAGGCAGAGTTTTTTCTGGCAATGTTGTGCTCAGTTAGCTGCCCTTGTTACCATTTTGTTGAAAAGGAGGCACAAGTTTAATAGATCATTTTAATTCCATTTCCTCAACAGATGTTATTGCGGTACATATTTGTATTGTGCTTTGATGATTTGGTTGATGCAAACTTCTTGGTTGATGTTGATTTGTACACAACATTTTTCTGTGTTTCAAATTTTTTTTTTTTTTTTTTGACTCTTCTAAGATAAGTTATCTCTTATTCCCTATATTGCAGGAAGGATGTGGTGTCACTGTCGGATGGTTTATCTTCCAATGTCATACTTATATGGGAAGAGGTTTGTAGGTCCAATCACACCAATAGTTCTGTCTCTGAGAAAGGAACTGTATACTGCCCCTTATCATGAAATAGATTGGAATAAAGCGCGCAGCGAGTGCGCAAAGGTAAGTAATTGTAGTACAGTCATCCTTAAAAGCTGAGATTTTATTACCAGCTCTCTACAACCTTGACAATTTTTTATGTAGGTTTTAGGAATGCAATGGTTTGTGACAGCTATTTTCGTTCTCATTACTTGTTTATGGAAAGTTGATCTAAAGAAAACTTAATCAGCATGATTTGTGGGCATGAGTGACCACACTTTTACTGATACTTTTGAGGAACACCTAAATTTTGGCAAAATTAATGCAACTTCTGATTCAGTTGTTTTTTGTAAGGGGACTATTCAAAGTTCTAAAATTCTAAATAGTAGTCTACTTATTAAATTTAGTTAGTGGCACAACTTTCACCTTTTGCCCTTATCTGCATTGGAGATTCTTGCTTATTGGTTGACTAAGAAGCACAGACACAGACACAGACACAGACACAAACACAAACATAGACACAGACACAGAGACGGACATGACATGACACGACACAGATACGCAGACACGACATTTTTAAAAAATGTAGGACACATACAAGTTGGGACACGCTAAAGATAGATGTGAATTTCCATCAAGTGCATGTTAACCTCAACATACTTGGTTTTGTCATGCTGAACCGTGTTGTGAGCAATTTTAATTGCTGTCCTATTATCACAGTACAAATTCATAGACTCCTCGAACTAAAACCAAGCTCTTGAAATCCATCCTTCAATATGAATTCCAGTCATAATTTACAGATACCATGAGTCAGCTCCAAATTCTATCACAGTACAACTTTGTAGGCTCCTCTGAACTGAAACCAAGCGCCTTCAATGTTGATTCCACTCACAATTCACAAATACCATGACTCATAGCTTTAAGTTCTGCCTCTGACTACATATAGCCACAAATGGCATTTCATGTGGTGCCATGCTTCCAAATTTCCTCTTACAAAGGGACTATACCCAAAAATCGATTTTCTGTTTGGTTCTAATCCAGCTCAGTCTACATCTGAATAAGTTTCACTTGAAGATTATCATATCTAGAGGCAAAAGAACCCTTTACTAGGAGCTACTTTAAATACCTCAGGGTTCTATAAAGCGCTTTCATATGAGGCTCACAAGCTGGCTGTATAAACTGACTACATAGCTATATCTGGTCGGGAACCAGTTTATGGTATAGGAAGATCATCAACATTTTCTCCTAACATGTACTTTTGCTCTAATTGGTGTGTAAAGCAGATTTACATTCTAATATGTCTGTTTGCTTAAGTAGATCAAGAAAATACATCTGTTGTGAAATAAAGATACCCCATCTAGATCTCACATCCTCAATGGCCAAGAAATACTTCAAACTTGCCAAATCCTTTATGTCAAATTCTTAGGCCAAATATGTCTCTAATTTTATCTTCTCTTCCTCATCACTAGTGAGTTCAAAATAATGAGCAATCACAATTAGTGTAGTCATATTTCCGCAAGGAGGATGCTTGACAAATAAATTATGATCTACATGACTCTGATGATAACAATACCTCAATATGGATTTGGATGAGTCTCTCAAACCATGGTTTTGGATACTGCTTCAATGTCAGTCTTGCTATTATCAAAGGTAAGTTCAAAATCGGGTGCTACACCCATGTATACTTCCTCTTGTAGGTGTCCACATAAAAATGCATTGTTCACATCAAATTGTTGAAGAAGCCAGCCTTATTTGTAGCCGAGTAAAGTAAGACATGATTAGAAATCACCTTTACCACTAGTTCAAATGTTTCATGTTGGTCAATCTCTCAAGTTTATGTAAAGTAAAACATGAATTTACATCCATCTGGTTTTTTTCCCAAGGCAGCTGAAAGAATTCCCAAGTATTATTCTTTTGAAGTGCATTAATCTCTTAAAACATCGTTTTCTTCCATTTGGGATTAGAAGCCCGTCCGGTAAGTTATTAGGAACAAACTAACAAACATCGTTTTCTTCCATTTGGGATCATAGTTGTCAAATCGCGAATCGGAAAGTGTATCGTTTTTTAAAAATAATGTATCGTATCGGGTATTGTAAGATACGACGTAATTTTAAATAATTAATAATAAAATATATATGCTTTTAAAACAAATCATAGACTCATAAAAACATAATATTTCATTAATATTGCACTTATTATTCAAGTCACCAATATAATTTTTTTTTAATAAATGGTATCAAATTAAATTAATGGTACTTATGTATACTTAAAAGTAAAAAGTTATAATATAGGGGGTATTAAATGTAATCTTTCATTCTTATAACACAAAAACAGTCATGAGTTTGTGACCCACACGAACGAACACAGAGAACACAGAGAGAGAAGAGGCGTGAGGCGATGGCGATGGCAATGTCGGTGTCGGAGAGACAGAAGAAGAAGAAGAAGAACATATTTGGTGGCTGGTACCTCGTGGTCGCAGCTCGCAGTGATGAAGAGAGAGATCGTGAGACAAAGAGAGAGAGATTGTGAGACCTAGGGTTTCATCTGAAATTTACAGGTTAGTGTTGCTATTTTTTTAATTTTAAAAATTTGTTTGATTTGTTTTTGCTTGGGGTTTTTTGCTGATTTGTGGGTTTGGTGGACTGATAATTCTTCTCTTCTTCATCTCTGTTGTCTTTTCTTTGGCATTTTTTCTATTATCTGATTTGTGGGTTTGGGTGTCTTCATCTCTGTTTTTGCTGTCAATGATTTGGTGTGAATCTGCGAATCAAGCTGTCAAAAAAAAAAAAAGTTAAACAGGTTTTGCGTGTATCGTTGGTATCGTACTGATACGTATTGTATTGTAAAAACGTATCATGTATCGGAGGATACAACGTAAAAACGATACATAACTACGATCCGTATCGTTTTACCTCCGTATCGTAACGTATCGTACAATATGTATCGCGTATCATACGATACTAACAACTATGTTTGAGATCATTAGTCCATCATCTTGTAAATTATTAGGAACAAGCAAAGAAGAAAACTGGCCAGAAAAATCCCGATAAGACATTGAGGGGCGATGCAAAGATACAACGTGGGATGTTGAGTGCAAGCTTGAACACTTTTGCCTGAGTCCGCCTACTAGTTGGGACTGTGGCTGCGAATGAGAAATTCTTTTTGATCTGGTGGTATTGATTGATGCTACTAAAAGAATCAAGAATATTTGACTGGGGATTACCTATACTCGAGGAAAACCATTGGAGCAGACAGTGGAATAGGGAAAGTCTTGTCCTTCTATTTTTTTTGAATAGATCATTAATTCCTTTTTGTTCTTGCTGCTGTTCCTCATCACTTTCATGCTGTTGTTCCAATTGAAAGAAAGGCACAGATGAGACTGATGGCAGAACACACCCAAAC